TCAAACAGATGTTCCATGTCTTAGTTTGTTTCTCCATTGCTGTGACAAAATACTCTGACCAATACCAACTTGGGGAGGAAAGAGTTTATTTAGCTTATATCTCCCAGGTCATAGTTCATCAGGGATTCCAAGGCAGGAACTCAGGGCAGGAACCTGGAAGCAGGAGCTGGAGCACAGGCCACGGAAGAACTCTGCTTACTGGCTTGCTCCTCTAGCCCCTGCACAGCCTGCTTTCTTATGCAACACAGGCCTGCCTGCCCAGGGGTGGCACCACCCACAGTGGACTGGGCCCTCCCACAGGCTGGTCCAAAGAAGGAAATTCCCCATTTGAGGCTCCCTCAACCCAAGTGTGTCAAGTTGACACTAAAGCTATCCAGCACAATTGACCCCTTGTCAACTTGACACAGAAACACATCAGTATTAAACCATAACCTTTCCAATTCTTGTCCCCAAGATATGATGTTAGCATTAATATCACAACATAAGACAGTACAACCCTAAAAACCCCACATAAAAAATCCAAACACTTAAAAGTTCTCAGTCTCTTTTAAAAGTCTCTTAACTGTGGGCTTCTGTAAAATCCAAAACAAGTCCTGTCTTATTTCAAAGGGAAGAATTGGGCACACCTAAGCAAAACCAAAGTCCAGCAAAGTAGCTCAAGGCTGGACATCTGGGATTCACTCATGATCTTCTGGGCTCCAAAGGATTCTGGCAGCTCCACTTCTCTGACTCTGCCACCCACAGCACAAACAGCTTGCCTTGCACACCCAGGCCAGCTCCATTCCACACCTACTGTGGTCCTTGGTGGTTGTCCCATGGTCCGGGGCATCTCCAAAATGCTGGGATCTCCACTGAAACTGAGGCTACACCTTCACCAATGGCCTCTTCTTGCCTCTTGGGGTGCAAAGCCTCAGATTCTCTCCATGACCCCTTCAATTCTGGGGTCTTCACTGCAACTGAAGCTGTACTTTCACTTATGACCTTTCCTGGCCTCTCAGAGTGACAGGCCTCAGCTACCCTCTTCACACTTTCAACACCAGAACCATGCAGGAGACTCTTACATGTTACCAAGTCCTGCTTCCAGCTTGAGATAGAGGCTCGGGTCCCCTCTGTGTGCTGACCCTGAGGAAATACCTCCCAGAAGATTTCACCACAGTGATGCTGGTCTCTTGTTACTTACAGCTGATTTTTCAGCCCCAGCTAACCAGCATCAACTGTCCCAGTAAAGCAAAGGTTTTACTTCAGGTTCTGGTCTCTTCTTAATCATAGCTGATTCTTCAGCCCCAGTTGACCAGAACCTACAGATTCTCAATTCAAAATCTCACAGGAACAGCCCTAATAGTCTCTACTTCCCTTTGAAGCTTCACAAGCCAGGCCTCCATCATCCATAACTCTTTCAACATAACTGTTCCAAGCTCCACAGCAACAAACTCTAAGCACTCAATGACTTTTCCAGCCCAAAGTTCCAAATACCTCCACAATCCTCCAATGTCAGGTCTGTCACAGCAGTACCCAACTTCTGGTACCAATTTCTGTCTTAGTTTGTTTCTCCATTGCTGTGACAAAACACACTGACCAATATCAACTTTGGGAGGAAAGGGTTTATTTTATCTTACATCTCTGGGGTCACAGTTCGTCAGGGAGCCTAAGGTAGGAACTCAGGACAGGAACCTGGAGGCAGGAGCAAGAGCACAGGCCATGGAAGAATGCTTGCTCCCCTAGCCCCTGCACAGCCTGCTTTCTTATGCAACACAGGCCTACCTGCCCAGGGGTGGCACCACCCACAATGGGCTGGGCCCTCCCACAGGCCAGTCCAATGAAGGAAATTCCCCAGTTGAGGCTTCCCCAACCCAGGTATGTCAAGTTGACACTTAAAAAAAAAAAAAATGTTGTTAAATTAGACCTTCAAAACTAAAACTTCTCTTCAAAAGTCACTATTAAGAAAATGACAAACATTCCACACACTGGGGGAAAAATAGCTACAAATTACACATCTCCATTACTTGTAAGAATATATAAATTTAGGAGCTGGTAAGATGATGGAAGGTGAGAACGAACTCCACCAAGCTTTTCTCTATCCTTTACACAGAGGTAAAAATACCAGAAGTGGGGTACTGTTGCACCAGTGTGCCTCCCCACATAAACATAAAAAATAATAACAATAATGTAAAGGATTCTCTAGGTGCAATAATGAGAACACAGCCAATTAAAATTAGTAGTTGAATAGATAGTTTACCAAAGAACATGTACAGATGGTAAATAAGACATGAAAAATGCTCAATTTCATTATTTATCAGGGAAATGTATATTAAAACTGCAGTGTATAACTGTGAGATTGGCTTTACTATGTGTGGGTTAGGATGTGAAGGAACAGGAACTCTAATAGACCATGGGTGGGAATGTAAAATTGTACAATTCTTGAAAAGCATTTTGGCTGTTTTATTTTTTAGAAGATACTTTTTAAATTAATTTATCTATTTTTATGTATGCGAGTGTTGTGGGTGGGTGTATATAAGTGCACCACGTGCACGCAATGTCCTTGGAGGCCAGAAGAGGGTGGCAGATCTCTTGGAACTGGAGTTATGGACAGTTCGCTTCCATATGAATGCTAGGAACTGATCCTGGTTCCTGCAAAAGAGCAGCCATTGCTCTTAACCGCTGAGCCGTCTCTCCAGCTCCTGGCAGTCTTTTTAAAAAGATGTAAGTGTACACATATCATACAGCTATTCCAGTCTTGTATAGTATTTACCTCAGAGTAAAGAAAGCATGTATGTCCACGCAGTGGTATAAACAGTTATATTTATAGCAGCTTTACTTACAATAACCAAGCCCCAAACCACCAACATGTTTATCACTGGTTGAATGTATAAATAACCTGTGGCATACAAAACAATAAAAATAAGTGACCATGATACATGCAAATCACTGATGAATCTCAAAATAATTGTGCTTACTACAAAAAGTCAGAAAAAGTAGACAGTGTATAGTTCAATTTACATATTAAGAAGTGCAAACTAATGTACAGTGTCAGAAAGCAGATGGGGAGGAGCTGAAGGAGGAACTACAAAGGGACCTAGGGAAATCTGAGGGAGACTCAGATTGACCATGTGTGGATTACCTTGGCTCCTGTGATGATTTCAAAATCCTCAAAACTTACGGCACGTGTAAATTATACATCAATAAAACTTCATTACCAAATATATATATATAAGGGACTGTGCTAGTGTGGAACCATGTTCTGATGTAGATGTAGAAAGCAAAAGCAGAGGCTCCGGAACTTTGGGTATGGTTTAATTCCGTCCTTTGAAAAAGGAAAGAAGTTTTTCGGCGCTTTAAAATCCTTATCTCTCATTGTGCACTTGTTTGCGTACAGGCAGGTTGGCAGCTCACATGTGAACTTCTGCAGTAGTGATCCTAACATGCAGCTCAGGACTTGAGCTGCTCTCACCTACGCTTCTTACCCAGGTTCCAAGTATCTGTGTGCTATAGTAGGATGCTCTCCTTGGGCTAAAGCCTGGAAGCTGAAACTGTCAGTTCTGGGCTCTGGAGAGGACACCTGGCTAGCGGTCATATTTAACTGAAGACTCCCTAAGTATCCCACTCGCCATTTTAAGCCTTGCAGGGAGGGAGGTGAAAGCGCATCGATCGCCTAGGGGCACGGCGGGGCCTCAGGGGGCGGGGCTATCTGGAGCGGAACTTCCGAGGGGGCGGGGCGTGGGCCGAAAGAGATGCATCCCGGCCATTAGCACAGAGCCTGGGGGCGGAACAGGTCGTCGGGGGCGTGGCCACACGGGGCGTGTCGGGGGCGTGGCCAGGCCTGTGAGGCGGCGCAGGGCGGGTGTCCCTGGCGTTGCCTCCGCTGCCGCCGGGTTCCCAGGTGTAGACTGCAGGACCGCATCGCTGGCTTCCGGCCGCCCCAGGCTGCACACTGTGTTCGGAGGTAAGGTTTGCCGGGTAGCCTTGGGACAGGGCGGGCCGGACGGCCGGAGCCCTCGGCGTCGGTGCCCCCAGCAGCGGTGCGCCCTCCCTTTGGCCCTGAGCGCTCTGGGGAAGCTCGGCCCGCTGAACCCCGGCTCGCTTGAGGCCCGGCCTCGGGTGGGTCGGCGGAGGCGGGTCTGGAAAGGGGCGGGCTCTTCTGTCAAGCCAGGCTTCGCGGGTTTGAATATCCAGCTGCTGAGTTGTAGACGAGACTGCGAAGTCCTGTAGTTCTTAGTGTAAGAGTTTCTGTTTGCCTCAGAGAAATGTCGGAGACCGAGACTGCCCCTCCTCTGAGCGGGCCCAAAGAACTGACAAGCAGTTAAGGTATGGCGGGTTTTGTCTTTGGCAAGTGCGCCTTTTGGGGAAAATTTCCCCCCAACATGGAATTGATTAGTAAGACCTGATTGTTTTCTTCTAGGAAAGTGTTGCAAGGTGTTTTACTATTTGCATTAGTTGTTAGATTCTTTGGTATCCCCAGTACCAAAGTGGGGACTCTGCCCCATTTCAGAAGGTTCTCCTGAAGCTGGGATCTTCACTTCTCTCTGAGTCAGGAAGCAGAGGTCAGAGAGAGAGAGTGAAGCGGCCTGTCTGGGTGCCCAGCCCCCTTAGGGACTCTAAGAGATGGTCCAGTTCCGGTTCTGTGCAACCTTGCAACCTTGCATCTCAGAAGATGTTTGCAACACAAGTATATTTTGCAAACTTCAGTCTTCAGATATGTGTTTAAAAATGAACATACCTATTCTAAAATAAAGTTTCCTGTTTCGTTGAATGTATTCTACTGAGGCTTGAACTGGCAACGAAAGATTTATTTTTATTTTCCAGTGTAATTCCTAGCGAGTCTGCTAATGTTTCCACTAATCAGGCTAGTTTTTTATATGGACAACAGTTAGTTTTTGAATTATCAGTTTCTGAACTTTGTATCCCTTAATGGATACGATGACTTATAAATAACCTAAGCATAAAAATTATTGGTTGTTTTCTCATACGTCCTAATGAAGATGTTTTGTGATGTTTTCCAAGATTGGAACTGAAGTCAGGTGGCTGACTGTGAGGACCCCATGGCAGCAGGTGCTTCGTTGCATTGGTTCAGAGTCAGCTGCAACTTGGAAACTTTCTTTAGGTAAGAAAGGCTTGGAAAAGAAATGATCAACTTCTTTACCTTAGAAAGAAATGATCAGGGATTTAGAAAGTGGTTTCAAATATTTAAGGTAGAATCTTTATGTCAAATTTTCCAAGTACTAAAGATCAGTTTGTCTTATGTTCTAAAGTATAGTGATGTGCATAGCTGTAAAGTTGCATATGAAGTTTATGATCGGGAGGGGGAGTTTGATGCTCAGTCTCAATGTATGCAAGGAGAAAGAGAATTGAGGTGTTAATTTAACTAAATTATTGGTATTAATATAATGTTCTTTATGGTGATTCTGCTATGGCACTTTAATAAGCTTTATAAATTTAACAACTCATGTTAAATCAGGTTTAATATATAGCAGTACCCTGTGTAGGGAACTATAAGGCAGTTATATAAGCTGGCATTGGGATAAAGTATTTTTCTTCACTGCTTTTCTGGTAAAGCTTTATATTAGGGATAGCTTTTCTTATAATAATTTAGTGAAATTTTACTGTTTCGTAGGCTGCTAAGTGAATGTTATAGGAAAGTGTTGATGAATGTGTTCTGCCCCTGAGTTTAGAATACAGCTTCTGCTCCTTCACTGTGTTGCTGTAGGGAACTTGCTATGGAGAACAGATCAGTAACATAGGCTGTCAGTTGCTGATAGCAGTTTCATGGAGTCTACATTGTACTGCTGGACAGGTTCTAAGTTATGCATGTAACTGTTCAGTCAAACTAAGATGCAGAGAGTAGCTTTCTCTGGTGCTTGAGATACAGCTTTACAACTGATTTTGTTTCCATTACAGTTTTCCAAGTCCTAAGATGACTTTTTTATTTTGTTCAGCGATTTTATAGGTCAGCCCTGCTTCTGGGATCCAACTCTATGTAGTAGTTAAGAAATGTTTCGCATCACACAGACTGAATCACAGGACAGACACATTTATGTTGTAAATAAATATTTCAGTAGATTTGAAGGTATGTTCAATTATGATACTGAATCCATATATACATTCCTAATATAGAAGGGTAATCATTAATTAGTGTTAAGTTCAGAATCATTCCTATCATTATTATGCCTTTCAAATAATTGTATATTTAAAATACTCTGGATTCTTATATAAAATATATACAAATGAATATGTGTGTGTATATTATATATATGGATATGTCTAGACATCAGAGTGTTGGAACTTTATTGTATCCTGTGCAAGCTAATATCTAGACAGTCATCATTTCTTTTTGGAGGGAATACTCATTCCTGTGCTAGTTATTAGTGATGGGAGAAAAGAAGATGTATTGCTGTGTAACAGCTCTGTCCCTGCTAGATCCACGTTTCCTAGAACACTTCTGTCCCAGCTGTCACCTGAAATTTGTTGTAGATCATTTGCCTTTTTGTTAGGATTGCAATTTGACTTATAGTTCAGAAAAGTAACATTGGCCAGTTTAATATGGCAACACAGACAGCACAGAATGTACTCTAATTCACACAGCAAATTTATGCATACTACTGTGATCACACCTTACAAACAAGAAAACGGGTTTAGAGTGATTCAGTCTGACCATGTCCCATGATTAGTAAGTAGCATGGCTGTGACTTACCCAGACCAATGCTTTTAATTAAGCGGTACTATCTCCCAGGAGTTTAGTAAAATGCACTGTGATGCCTCCTCCTCAAGATATAGTACTTGACCACAGGAAAACAAAAATTGGGGCATATGCCCCTTCCTTGACGTTTGCTCCTGCAGGCCACCCCAGCGTCTTTCCCACACACGTCTCAGTCTGTTTCTTTCCTTGCATCTCTACTTCAGTCATATCATCTATCATTAGTGTAGCCATCCGATCACAGTTTTGAGAATGGGTTTGCACGTACTCTATCCTCAGCACAAAGCAGCACTTACTAATGCATGAAAGTGGAAGATTACTAGTAAAATTGTATTCATTGAATATTTCCCATTTTCTAATATTCTGAACAAATAAAGTACAGGTATTTGACAGTAATACAAAAAAGATCAAACAACGTTTTCTAATGTTTACAGAATGAAGAGGAATAATTTCTCTGCTGTGAATAAAATTGTCCAATCTTCACCAGTAGTGAAACAGCCCAAACGTGGGTTCTGCTCTTCTCTCAACCAGACTCACATGTGCAATGTTCTTCTAGACTGGGGGAGTTTGCCTCACCATGTGATACTACACATTTTTCAGTATCTTCCTTTAATAGATCGAGCCCGAGCATCTTCTGTGTGTAGGAGATGGAATGAAGTGTTTCATATACCTGACCTCTGGAGGAAGTTTGAGTTTGAGCTGAACCACTCAGCAACCTCATATTTTAAATCCACTCATCCTGATCTCATTCAGCAGATCATTAAGAAACATGCTGCACATCTTCAGTATGTCAGTTTTAAGGTAAGAAAAGGGATCTTGAGTAGAAAAAAAACCCATGTTTCGTTAAGAAATTTTTTGTATATTTAGATCCTTGAGATACTGATAAATATTGCAGAATTTTTAATCCCAGATTGTTTTCTGATTTTTTTCTAGTTATGGCATAGATTTATATATAGAGCTTGAACTTTAGTTGAATAACTTAAACTTCAGTTTTCTTCATTTGGATGTTACTAAAATCCAAGTAATTGTAAAGATTTGAAAATATAAAATGCTGAAAAATGACTTCATCATATCTCTGTTTCTCCCTTTATAATCTCAGACAATTAACATAAAGAAAAACCATTTATATTAATTAAAGGGATTAACAAACTTTGTATTTGAATTCCATTAAGTAATTATATTTCCAGGCTAGGCATGGTGGCACATGCCTTTAACCCCAGCACTTGGGAGGCAGAAGCAGGCAGATCTCTGTGAGCTCGAGGCCAGCCTGGTCTACACAAAATGAGTTCTAGGCCAGCTGGGGCTATTGGGAGACCCTGTCTCAAAATGAGACACAAACAATTGTCTTCATAGGTTGATAGTAGCGCTGAGTCGGCAGAGGCTGCCTGTGACATACTTTCTCAGCTGGTAAATTGTTCTATCCAGACCTTGGGACTGATTTCAACAGCAAAACCAAGTTTTATGAACATGCCAAAGGTAAGGATATTGGTTTTTTTGTGTGTGTGACATATGGTAAAACTCTTTAATGTTTATGTGGGCGTTGGTGAATGTGCAGGTGCATATATATGCGTATGCATGTGGAGGTCAGAGGAAAACCTCAGATGTCATCCTCAGAAACACCTCCTGTAAGACAGGGTCTCTTCATTGGCTTAGAGCTCACCAGTCAGGCTAGACTGAGAGGTCGGTGAGCCCCATGATCTCCCTGGCCCTACCCCCTCAGCTCCTGACTACAAACGCAGGCCACAATGCCCACCAGTTTTTACATGGGATTTAGAGATCAAACCCAGGTCCTCATGCTGTGAAGGCCAGCACTTTACTGACTGCACTATCTCCCCAACCCTGAAATTCTTAAATATTGCTGAATTGAGCTACACATTTTTTTTTGTAAAAACAGGCCATATCCCACTTGTACTCATTATATTATTTGCAGTAATTTTCTCCTGACTAACTCCTGTGGTATTTTTGTTGAAGTATTTTGTGCATGTTATTTTTAGAGCTATTTTTATAATTTTAGGAACTTTTTCATTAATATAAACTTACACGTTAAGCTTACTATTTTCAAGTGCCAGTTTATGTAGTTCCTTTGAATGTAGAACAGGTAGAGGTAGTAGTGGGTGTTTTTCTGTGATTCTCCAGCTTCTTATTTGGAGGTAGGATAGTATAATGTTTAACTAGATAAACCTATGCTAGTTAGAATCATGTTTCAATTCCTATAGCAAATACTCCAAAACATCAGTGTCTTAAAAAGCTTGAAGAAGTTTATTTCTCTTAAAGAAATCCACAGGTGAGGGAGTTCATAGGTGGTACAGTTTCGGACCTGCGCTCTCCCCAGCCACTCCCCTCTCCTCAGTGTGTTTTAGTCATTTTCATTTTCTGACAGCTTTCCTTGATCCTGCCCTCTTCTGGGCAGCTGGATAGAAGGAATGGGGAAGAATGATACTCTTCCATTTTAGAGTTTTCTTATAAGTACCTGTAACACTTCCATTTACATAGCTGGGACCTGAGGTTTTAGGGAGGCCAGAAAATCTTTCAGCTTGATGGTAGTGTGCATAGCTGGACTGGACTACCAAAGAGGAAATGATGAATAGTTGCTGGGAGACACCAGGCAGCATCTGTCACAGAACTGTTTTCTCTACACTCAGGTCTCACCTGAGTATTATCAGCTCCTCAGAGACACTTCAAACCACAGTTATTCTTGGCTGTCCTGCCCTATCTTAGTTTCTTTTCATATTGCTGTGATAAAGTACTCTGACAAGATAAAAGTAAGGGGGAAGGGCTTTTTTTCTGGCTCACAGTTCTAGGGTGGGGAAGTTCAAGTTGGGGAAGTCAAGATGGCAGGAGTTTGAAGCAGCTGGTTATAGCACATCCACAGTCAGGAATCATACTGCTGGTCAGTTCCCTTTCTCCAGTTAAAGAGTCCAGAATCCCAGCCAAGGAAAGGGGCCACTGACAGTGGGTGGGTCTTCTCACCTCAGCATAATGAAGGTAATCCTGGGCCAGCAAGATGGCTCAGTGGGTAAAGTTGCTTGCTATCAAGTCTGACTAGAATTCAATTCCCAGAGCCCATATGTTGACAGGAGAGAGCCAGTTCCTGCAAGTTGTCCTTTCACCTCCACACATGAGCCATGGCATGTGTACATACATATACACACACATATACATACTCTCTCATGAGTAAAGAGGTGCATCTCCCAGGTGATTCTAGATTCTGTCAAGTTGACAGCACTAGCCATCATACCTGCAATATTTTATCTTCTTACATCATTTGTTTGTACTTAAAAAAGCCATCTTACTTACTAATTTTGCCTGTTTATTGTCTTCTCACACCAAAACTAATTTATTAAAGGAAAAGATTCTGTCCATTTTGATTACCACCATAAACCCAGATTAAAATAGTTATTTGGTTTGTCAAAGGCACTTCATGACAGTTGATGAATGTGGCTCTTAGAAACCCCCTACAGTGGAGGACAGAAGGATAATAGCATCTTCTCTCCTACAAACTGGGTCATGATTCTCTTAGCAAGGCTTTCTGATATCCTGTTATCTTTCAAAAAGATATGCTGAAAAAATTGGGTCATTTGGGGATTTAGAGTAATATAAGTAATCAGATGAAAACTTACCACTACTACATAGGTACTTCCTTGTTTATGAACTGCAGGATCAGATTAGCCTGAAACACTTCTTAGATCTAAAAGCTAAGGCTAATGTTGTCCATCCGCCTCCAGGGCTAAAATTTGGATTCGTTAATGCAGTTACAGAGCAGGTACCAGGAATTAGCCTGCTCTGTTTCAGACGATGCCCCCGCTTCAAAGTCGTCAAAATTGATTTTGTAAAAAGAAAAAGGATCTTGCCTGGATTTGGTTTCTAGACTTTCTGTCCTTTCCAGAAAATATAGTAAATCTGAAAACTTGTACCTAGTTTGAGACCAAATTATTAATAAGCTTTATTTTGTAAGTCTTCAAAGCATGTAAAGATTTGGGATTTACCTTGTTTAGATTTGCTTGAAAAAGAAAATAATTGATGATTGTGACATCTATTCATTCCTTTAACAAATGTTTATTGACTGCTATGTGTCAGATACTATTTTAGGTCTGAAAATATGGAAGTGAATGAAACAGACAAAAAAATCATCTTCTCCTAGAAAGAGGTTGGAAGAGCCTGAAGAATAAATATTCTAGGCTTTAAGGGTTATATGATTCTGCCTCAAATACTCAACTCCACTGTTGTAGTAGAGAGGCCAACACAGGCAGTGCATAAAGGAAAGGACACGGCTGTGTGCCATGCAAGCTTTGGTGGTGGGCATTGAAATCTGAGTTGCATGTAATTTTCATGCCATACAATATTACACTTTGTCGTTTTATAACCCTTTAAAAATGTAAAGGACAGCTGGGGCTATAGGAAGACCCTGTCTCAAAACGACCAAAAATTTTTTTATTTTTAACTCATGAAACATACAGAAACAGACTATGGGTTGGGCTTGGCTGGTAGTCCATGATTTGCTAATCTCTGTTCTAGGAAATAAATAACATTATACACTTTTAAAATTGAATGTCAAAGCCAGGCATGATGACACACTCCCTTAATCCCAGTACTCAGGAGGCAGAAGCAGGTAGATCTCTGTGAGATCTAGGCCAACCTAGTCTACATAGCTCCAGGCCAGCTGGGATCTCAGGGAGATCCTGTCTCACACATCCAAAAAAATGAACATCAAACTCTTAAGGCTGAAAATAGCAAAGCATCTTTTATGAGATACTTGAAATGTCTCCCTTCTTATTCCCTTTATCACTTGTACTAGCATAAAGCTATGCTTTGTTACAGAGCTAACTTCTATACATTAAGAGGCTCGTATACCATAACCAAGTTAGTTTCATCTCAGGGATACAAGGTTGTTTCAACATACACATATCAATAAGTATAGTACAATATATAAATAGATCTAAGAACACAAATCACATGATTATCTCAATAGATACAGAAAAGGACTTTGACAAAGTTCATTATTGTTTTATGATCAAATCTCCAAGGAAAATTTGGAATACAAGAAATATATTTCAACATAATAATTACTGTATATGGCAGATTTTTAGCATGTATTATGTTAAATGGGGAAAAACAGAAAATGTTTCCCCTAAAATAAGACAAGGATACCTTCTCTAACTGTTCTTATTCAAGATTGTGCTTGAAGTCTTAGCTAGAGCAATAAAACAAGAGAAAGAAATAAAAGGGATATAATAGGAAAAGAGGAATTCAAAGAATTCATCTTGTAGACATGATCTTGTGCTTACATGATCCTAAAGGTCCCAGAAAACTCTTTATGTTCTTCAGCAAAATTGTAATATACAAAAATCAGCATAGAAATATCAGTAGCCTTTTATATGTAAGAATGAAATTGCTAAGAAAGAAATCAAGAAAAAAAATCCCATTTATAATAGCTCCCCACCAAACAAACATAAAACCCAAACCAACCAAACAAAAATCTTAGGAATAAACCTAACCAAGGAGCAAGGACATGAAAGACTCTGTAATGAAAACTTTAAGACACTAAAGAAAGAAATTGAAGGTACTAGAAGATGGAAAGACCTCCTGTCTTCATGGATTGGCAGAATTAATGCTGTAAAAAAATGATTATGTTAGCCAAAGTGATTACAGATTCAGCACAGTCTCTTTCAAAACTACAATGACATACTTCACAGAAATAGAGAACAAACCTAAAATTCATAAAGGAGCACAAAATACCCTGAATTCCCAGAGCTATCCTAAGCAGAAAGAGCAATGCTATACGTATCATAAAACCTGACCTCAAGCCATACTGTAGTGTCATAGTAACAAAAGCTACGTGGTGCTGTCACAGAACCAGACATGTAAATCAATGGAAGAGGATGCAGGACCTAAAAGTAAGTTCAAGTAGCTGCAGCCACCTAACTTCCTTCAAGAGTCAATAGCATACATTGGGGAAAAGACAGCCCCTTCAACAAATGACGTTGGGAAAACTGGATATCCACTGTAGAAGAATGAAGCTAAATTCACCTTTCATCCATCTACAAAAATCAACTCAAAAGGAATCAAAATCCTTAGTATAAGATCTGAAACTTTGAAACTGCTAGAGGAAAAACAAAGGGAAACCATTTCAAGATGTAGGCATAGGCAAGGACTTTCTGAAAAGGACTTCTGTGGTACAGAAGATAATCCCAAGAATTCAAATCTCAAATTACATGAAATTAAAAAGTTTCTGAATGGCAAAGGAAACAACAATCAAAGCGAAGATAGAGCCCACACAATAGTAGAAAAACTTTTCCAATTCATCGCATTATCAGACAGGATCAATATGTAGAGTCTATTAAAAAAAACTGAACGCCACAAAACAAAATTATCCAGTCAAAAAATGGACAGATGAATTGAGCAGACAGTTATAAAAAGAAGGAATGTAAATGGCTAATAAATATTTTAAAAGTGTTCAACATCCTTAGCCATAAGGGAAATTCAAATAAGAACTACATTGGGATTCCATTTCATCCCAGTCAGAATGACTGTCATAAAGACAATAACAAGAGGGTGAGGGTGAGGACAAGGAGGAATTTTCTGCACTTCTAGGGGAATGTAAACTCATGCAGTAACTATCGAAATCAGTATGTAGGTTCCTCAAAGAACTAAAAACACAACTACTATACATGATCCAGCTGTTTCTACGTTACCTGAAATAGAGTCTAAGTCCTCATACACAGAGATACAGGCATATCAGTGTGTATTGATTGACTGTAGCTAAGAAATAGAACCAGCCTAGATATCCATCCACAGATGAATGGATAAAACACGATACACAGTGGAATTTTTTTCAGCCTTGAAGAAAAATGAAATCATGAAATTTACAGGACAATGAGTGGAAGTAGAGATCATTGGAGATCATTATCTTAATTAGACTAGGCCAGACTCAGAAAAACAGAGTGCATGTTTTCCTCTCATATCTAGAATACAGGTTGTATGTGTGTGTGTGTGTGTGTTTGTAGGTGTGTAGGTGTGTGCGTGTGTAGGTGTGTAGATCATGAAAGTAGAAAGGAGCAGAAAGGGGACCATGAGAGGAGAGGAAAAGACGTTTAAGGGGGCGAGGAGAATACCGGAATACCCATGACAACAGAGCAGGGTAGTACTTGTGAGGAAGAAGGATCAGCACGAGAAGAGGAGGAAGGATATGGGACGGCAGACAGAAGGGAGATGAAGAATAACAGTAAAATGACGTACAGTGCACAATGAAACCCATACTTTGTATGCTAACTTAAAAATTCATAAAAATGGCTTCTACTAGCTAGTGATACTATGAAAAATGTAGTGTATTCATTGCTTTAGTGTATTTTTAGCATATAACATAAATCATTTAATGAACTATGATTGAAACTGATTTTTAAATATTTTCATAATTTTTTTCTTATTGCCTTGGAAGTCTCATTTTGTGTCAGCACTTACAGTTGTGTTTGTCAACTCAAAGTCATTATCATCAATTAAAATTGAGGACACGCCAGTGGATGATCCTTCATTGAAGATTCTTGTGGCCAACAATGGTGATACTCTGCGACTGCTAAAAATGAGTAGCTGTCCTCATGTTTCATCTGATGGTAGGTTATATTTCTCAAAAACTTGATGGATGATTGTAACAATGGATTATTAACTGAGAAATGAATGTCTTTGAAACATCATTAATTGTATTAAAATCTTAAAATTGTTTTTATTTATTTGTTTTTATTTTATGTGTCTGAGTATGTAAGTATGTAAGTGTACCTATATGTGCAGTGTTCCAAGAGGTGAGAAGAGGGTGTCAGATCCCCCAGAACTGGAATTACAGATGACAACTGCTATGTGGGTTCTGGGAACTGAACCTGGGTCCTCTGCAAAAGTGGCTAGTGCTCTTAACCACAGAGCCATCTCTACAGTCCCTCCAAAGAAATCTTAATCTTCAAATTAAATATTGTTCAAATTGCTTCTGCTAAGAATGTTTTTTTCCTTTCTGGGTGTGTGTTAAATATTTTTAACATATTTTGACAATTTCATAAATGGATATATATA